ATGATTCACATTAGAACATAGCAATTTAAATGAGCCTAAGACAGGCATGGTTAGAATTTCTTCTATATTAAGATGTGTAGAGGCTCTGAGAAGACTTACAAAGCTTAAAGACAAATAATGGACATAAACAGTCTAAACTAAAACAGATTTTTTTAATCTTAAATACATCTCTGAAAAGATGTTGCATACTCCATCACAATAACATAAAGGGCTTCTTTAATAGGTCTGTAGGATAGTCCTTCTTTTAACCCTATCATTTTCCAGGTTTATGACTATAGTATGAGACACATATTTAGATGTTCTTTTTTTACATCCACAAGAACAGGTAATATGAGCATTAAAATCACTATACCACATCACTGGAGGATGAAAGGGCTTTGAAATACCTAGTCTAATTCCTTCATTTTACTGCTTGGTTGAGTTGTCTGCCCTTTTCTGGGAATTACATGAGTTGAGCTAATCTATAGAGTTACCATAAAAGCATTTTAAAAATTCAAACTGATTTTGCCACAACTGCATTCCATGAAGACAGACTGGAGGGTTCAATACTAATGTACTTGCAATATTTTCATTTTCAAAATTGTATGGGCAATGAATTTTTGCTAATATAATTAATTAAAAGAATATTGATATACTTTAGTTAGATTTTTAAAATACCATGAAGTCTTATACTAATCATTTTAGTGCTGCTTAAGGCAACAGATAAGCCATTATTTCTCATTTAAGTAAATATTCATACAAATCAGAAAATAAGGGACCTACAGAAAGGCCATAAAGAAAATTCAGTCTATCTATCTTAGCTGTCATTGTTAATATCCTGGTTATATCTTTCTAGTCACTGTCTTTTGTCCTGTAATTTTACAGAATGCAATCAGACCATATAATTTTATAATCTAAATTTTCCCTTAGTTATTATATTATATTCAGTTTTAAATGTCAATAAACATACATCTACAGCCTCTTTAAATGGCTCTAGGGTCTTCTAATAGAGGAATCCTTCATACAGAGTATAGTCAACCCAAGGTTGCTAGACATTAAGATTTTTTTAAAAAACAAAACCATGTACACACAAAAAATAGGAAACAGGTCTAACTGTCTGATGACTGATTTAGATTTTGTTTCAAAAGTAGTATTATCCATTTGTGTGAAAATATCCAGAAAAGGCAAATCCTTAGCGACAGAAAGGAAATTAGCAGTTTCTAGGAGCTGGAGGTTGGTGGGGGATACTGGGGGAAGGTGGAAAGTGACATCTTAATTTACAGTGTTTCCATCTGGGGTGATGACAATGTTCTGGAACTACAGAGTTGTGATGGTTGCGCAACAGTATAAATACATTTTATCACAATTAAAAATATAATACTAGAATTTAAACACAAGCAAGATAAAAATACCCACTAAGACAAAATACTGCCAAATGCTCTATGGTGTACTTACATTCCTCTAATTTTATAAGTCAAACCCCAAAATGGGTACTTGAAATATTCATTTTTAACACTTTGTTTTCTTGAGCAGGAGGTGTTTTCAGTAAATTTACTAGAGACTGGTAAAATTAAGCCATGAACATAAATGCAATATTGAACATCTTGAGTCTGGAGTATCTGTCTAGGAGGCAACTAAAATTAGAGGTCTGATTATAAAGGAAAATATAATCTAAATATTTATAACTAGAAGCCAGAAGCCTACTGATGATAAAAGAACAATGAAGAATATTTATGAAATATTACATTATTTCATCAATTCTTACTAACAAAATATCAAAATTATTATGAGAAATTGGTAGAAAAATTAACTTCTACGCATATTGATTGCCTGGGTTTGGAGAAGCATATTTTAGCCTACGGAGATGATTAATAAATCTGTTTCTGGGTTCTAATTCATCACTAACCGTTGAAAGCCTAGAAAAGACTTTGAGGTGATTTTTAAGAATAATTAACATTATTAATCGTGATAAATTATACACACATGAAATTTTACCATCTTAACCATTTTTAAGTGTGCAGTTCAGAGGTGTTAAAACATACCCACATTGTTGTGTCACCAATCACTGATTTTTTTTTTTTAAACTACCAACCTTCATAGGTATTTTATTTCCCCCTATATGCTGAGACAGCACATCACAAACTCACACATTTCTGTCATTCAGGAGAGTTCTAACCCTTATTATCTGTAACCAACAGATAATAAGATGAGTCTAATTCGAGTCTTCAACTGCATGGGCGTGAGCCATCCTCTGCTTCAGTGAAAGGAGCACAGGACATCTGAAGGCAAGGCAGACATCAGTGTCAAAATCAAACCCCAGAGGCAGTCCTAGGACTCCTCAGCCTCAGGGAGTGGTCAGTGGCAGCAGCACCTATAGCAACAACAGCAGTAGACCCTGAATTTGGGATTAGCCCCTCCCCAGATGGTTGCTAAGGAACCTACATGGACTGCAGAAGGCACCAGGTACTCGCCAGGAAAAAGGCAGGCGTCTGGGGGCTCAGCTCCCAGGGATTCTTCTGCTCCTGAGATCACACATCCTCTCCTTGGCGGTGTTCCCTTAGAGGAGGAGACCAGGGGATGTGAGGGTTATGCTCAGTTAAGTACTTTCCAAGCCACCGGACAATAGCCTAAAAAGCGACAGCAGGTTCACAGGCATCTAAGTAGCTGTTAAGCCACGGCACGCACGATCTGCATAATTAATTCTTCTCAATGCTGTCATCTTCAATTACAGAGGACCACAGCATGTTAAACAAACAAACATAAAGGCCAAAGATGAGACTACTCTGAGTGGGGGCACAGCCTGGGTCTTAGGGAGAGACCACGACAAGCAACAGAGAAGGGTTGAACTACAGAAATCTTAGGAGGAAGCAGCAGGAGCACACAGCATAGACAGCAAACATCTGAGGGACATCGGGAAGGAGGGGGAGTCTTTGCAGGAGGGGGAGTCTTTATAGGAGGGGGAGTCTTTGCAGGAGGGGGAGTCTTTATAGGAGGGGGAGTCTTTGCAGGAAGGAGAATCTTTGCAGGAGGGAGAGTCTTCATAAGAGGGTGGCTTGTGCAGCAAAGGTGTTGGAGACAAGTAAGGCCAGGTACCTGCAAATAGTTCGGACACGCGGGCCACACAGAAGCCATTTCCATTTCTTTTTAGAGAACCCAGAAACCTAGTGACTCAGCAGAAAAAGGACAGAGATGAATGGTGGCAATTCTCTCCTTGACATTTGGCCTCAGGAAGTATTTAACTCCACCTGGTGATCTCTGGCAGGTTGTCCACCTAAGGGGGCAATTGTAAAGGAAAGGGGGCTGAAGCCATTTTACTTACATTCATTTTACAGATTTGAAATAATAATAAAGAATGATGATGTTGTTCCCAGCCATCCTATTAGGATATTAATAACTGGCTACTAAAAGTTATACATTCACTATTACAAGTGCATCGGGTGGGGGAAGGATCACAAGAACATTGCCTTTGGAGGTGACTTTCTCAGGCTCAGTAACAAAGACCCCTTGAGATGGTCACCAGAGGAAAAACTGTGTAGGTTAGTGATACCAGTACAGGCCTAGATTTGGATATTTTGATATGACAGGAGGTTAAAAACAGCCCCCAGAGATGCCTGGGCTCTGAGGAAAGAAGCTAGGCTACACCCCCTAGCCCCATGAGAGATGATGGCCTTTTGGTCCGACCCCACCTCTCCTAGGAATGGTCTAGTGTATCAGGCTCACTCCACTTGGTCCAATACACCACTGTTCCTGCTGAGACCTCCGTGGGGTAAGTGAAGTGAGCTCTACTTTTCCTTTTCCTAAATTAGTCAGCTCCCACCTGCCCTGTCTGAACCATGTGGTCAAAGTACACACAGGCATGGAAGCCTTTTTGCTAAATTTAAAAGGTTCTGCGTGTGTACATTTCTCTTCCTTCTCAACTCAAAGTGACCTATAATCTGATCCACGGCCTGTCTGTGACTTGAATGACGATCACATGCACCTGCCACCCACAAGCACTAAGCCGGCTCATCTCTGCCAAGTTCCACGAGGTCCACAGTTCACAACGGTTGATGTGCACTTACATCATCATCTTTCTGCTAATCACATTTGTTAAGTCTCTCATCTTTGTTACTATTCTGTGGTGCCTTAGCTCCAATTTGCAACGAATCCAGGTTTCAAAAGTGGTGTATTAAAATAAAAAGTAACAACAAAAATAATCACAAACTTTACAGTTCAAAATAATGATATCTTGGTTTTTAAAAAACCCACAATGCAATATACAAAGCAAGTTAGTATGTGTTAAAAGCACAGGGGCACCTAAAAGAGTGATGGTATCACACAATTTGCCAAAACGGATCAAAGGCAGAGGGAGGAAGATGATGACCATCTCAAAGATTTGACTGGTCCTGTGTGCAAATGCACTTGCCCCAGTTCTCAAGAAGTGGACTGTCACAAAACTATCACAAACGGTGGCTTGGCAAAAAGTTGGAAACATTTTCAAAGTGGCAACTCCAGGTAATCCAATAGGGATTTTCCAAAACAAGTGCATTAGTTTCCTCTAGAAACCTAAAGAATGCTGTCATGAAGGAAGGGAAGGCCCTCAATTCCACAGTCACTATTCAAAACTGACCTCAAAAGTGAAACAATACATGTACAAATCACACACTGAGACGCTCCCGAAGCCAGCTGCAAGGTTGATGAACCACATTATGTGCAGAGAGAAAACAGAAGAGTCTCCTGGCAGAATTCCTGCATCAAATGACACTGCTGGCCACCAATCTAATCACAAAACTCAATGGCAACAGAAGATCAAAGTCATACAACAGAAAATGACAACTGCTCTCCCCAGTATCTCCCCAGGAGAGAACCACAGAATGTGGTCTGTGAATGAGCTCTTAGAACACGTGGGGCAAGGGCCACCTGGGTGGCTCAGTGGGTTAAAGCCTCTGCCTTTGGCTTTTTTTTTTTTTTTTTTTTTGAGCTCTGTTTATTGGCCGGAGGGGGGCGGAGCCCGGCCCCTAGCAGGGCCCGAGCGGGGGCCGCGCTACCTGAGGTACCAAATCCTCAGCTTCTTCTCCCACTTGATCTTCCTCTGCAGCTGCAGGATGCCATACAGCAGCGCCTCGGCCGTGGGCGGGCAGCCTGGGACGTAGATGTCCACGGGCACGATGCGGTCACAGCCCCTCACCACGGAGTACAAGTAGTGATAATAACCTCCTCCGTTGGCACAGCTCCCCATGGACACGACGTAGCGAGGCTCGGGCATCTGGTCGTACACCTTGCGGAGTGCGGGGGCCATCTTGTTGGTGAGCGTGCCGGCCACGATCATCACGTCGGACTGGCGCGGGCTGGCGCGGAAGACCACGCCGAAGCGGTCCATGTCGTAGCGCGGCGCAACCATGTGCATAATTTCCACCGCGCAGCAGGCCAGGCCGAAAGTCATGGGCCACAGGGAGCTCCGGCGGGCCCAGTTGACGAGGTCATCCAGCCTGGCCACCACATACTCGCCCCGGCTGCTGGGAAGGGCGGTGGATTTGGGGAGCACGGCTCCAGCCGTGGACACAGCCGGCTGGGTGCTGCTGGGGCTGTCAGCTGCCACACTCGAATGGACACCACGCACCCGCGTAGCCACGCCCACACTGGAGCGCAGAGCCAGGGTCTTGGGATCGAGCCCCACATCAGGCTCTCTGCTCAGCCAGGAGCCTTCTTCCTCGTCTCTCTCTCTGCCTGCCTCTCTGCCTACTTGTGATCTCTCTCTGTCAAATAAATAAATAAAATCTTAAAAAAAAAAAAAAAAAGGAACACGTGGGGCTAGAAGGAAGAGAGCTGCCCTCCATCTTTGGGTGTCTGGACAGGAGTAGGGCATTTGGCTTAATGTATTTGAGGCTTGTTTTGTGAGGCATGATATGGACTTGGAAAAGTGCGCTAAGATCGTCCTCCTGGAGCTCTAGCCAGGGCTTCCACCAGAAGAGCTTGGAGCTGCACCTGGCTACCACCCCACACCCTGATTTATTCATGGGCAACAACAGTTGGCATCAATGAGTCCCATGTCAATGCTATTTTTAAAATCCCTGGAACATTAAAAAATGCAGAGATGCCAATATGCAATTTTAAATGGTGTTATATATATTTTAAATATTTAACATACGAACACTTTAAACACTAAAAATATTATAATGTGATGTACTTATTCACCATATAATAAATCAAAAATACTAATTTCCGGCTCATCAAAAGCAATGTGATCCAACAGTGAGACATAGATTTGGCCATATGATGAACACATTCTACTCTCAACTTTGTTCATGTGTCTCTGTGCCCTAAAGTTTATTCTTCTTTGAAAAGTTGATAGTCTACGTGTGAGGCTTGGGCCACATATGGCCCTCCCGAACCTCCTGTCCCTCCACCCTAATGCCATTGACACATGCTCAGGTGGACTCAACTCCTGATCTTGATTCACTATTGAAAAAAGAGAGAATTGGGAAATGACCACATGTTAGCCAGCACACTATGCATTGAAGAAAGAGAACGGATTGCTGCAATGAAATGTCTTGGATGGCGACAGACAATGTCAAGAAAGATAGTCTATGACTTCATGTGGTCGACTCAAGTTGTCTTTCAGCAATACATTCAGTATTTTGAATAGCTTGTCACTCTATAACTGGCAGATAAAAATAAACCCACACAGGGACCAAGATCATTCAATGGAGAATTGGTGTATTAGTTTGCTAGAGCTGCCATAAAAAATATCACAACAGAAGTGCATTTTCTCATAGTTCCGGGGTGTGGAAGTCTGCAGTAGGGTTACTTTTTTCTGAGTCCTCTCTCCCTGGCTTGCAAATGGTCTCTTCTCATTGTGTGTTCATGTGGCCTTTCCCATGTGCATTCATACCACTGGTCCTTTTCTCTTCTTCAAGAGCACCTGTCATGGGGCACCTGGGTGGTTTAGTCAGCTAAGTGTCTGCCTTCAGCTCAGGTCATGATCTCAGGGTCCTGGGATCTAGCTCTGTGTCAGGCTCCCTGCTCAGTGGGGAGTCTGCTTCTTCCTCTCCCTCTGCACCACCCCCCTGGCTTGTTTTCGCTCTCTTTCTCTCTCAAATCAATAAATAAATTTAAAAAAAAAGAAAGAACATGAGTCATACTGGATTAAAGCTTACCTTAATGCCTCATTTTAATATAATAACCTCTTTAAAGACCTAATCTCCAAATACAGTTACATTTGGGGGTTAGGTCTTCAAAACATGGATATGGGATAAGGGGGACACAATTTGATGCGTAACAGATGGTCTTTTCAACAAATGGGACTTAGACTTCTGCATATATATGTGCTAATAATAATAATAATAAACTTAGACCCTTACCTCACACCTTATGCAACAATTAACTTGTATAGATACTGAACCTGAATGTAATTTAGGAGGAAAGTAAACCTAAAACTTTTAGAAGAAAACACAAGAGAGAATCTATCTGATCTTGAGATATAAGCCAAAAGCATCCTCCATGAAAGAAGAAAATGAGTAATTGGACTCTGCACTACGCACTGTCCTAAGCTCTATACACAGCTTCTCTCATTTAATTCTTACAACAACATTATGACGTGAGCTGTGATTTCCTTGAACAAGGTCATATAGCTGAAGGTGCTAAAGTCAGAGAGCTCTCTCTGAGTATGCTAACAGTGGTTTTCCTACTGGGCATATTACAGAACAGAATTAAACCCAAGCCCCCCACATTTCGGTAGAACAAAACCTTTTCTAAAACTGAATACAGCCAAATGGTGGCACGGGAATCTATTTATTACCACCAAATCAAAATATCCAGACTTCCATCCTTCTATTGTGGACATTCTTTAACATGGTTTTGCAGAGTCTGCAGGGTGAATTCTCAGCATCCAGCAATGCAGACAGCTTGAAAATAATGTTAAGAAAGTTCTTTTGCGGGGGGGGCGGGGGGCGGGGGGATAAAAAACCGTGTTTATTTTTTTCAATTTAAAGTAGGACTTTTCAAAATGTATTTTAAAATTTATGATTGGCCTTTTTTATTTAAAAAAAAAAAAAGTATTATGTGTCCGTCATACAATCAGTGGGCACCAAAAGTTTGAGAAATCCTGTCTCCTACGATGAGAGGTATGAGCCCCAGAAAGACGAGCTCAGATGCCAGAGGGATGGCGGACAGGAGAGCAGCAAAACCACACAGCACCGAACAGAACAAAACAGAATGGAAGAGAATGGAAGCGGCCTGTCCGCGGCACCCTGTAGTTTTCCCACCTAGAAAGAGAAGCCAGAGTGGCCTTTACATACCTCGACAATAAACCACTTCTGCCAGGCCCAAGGTTAACACTGAACTTAATATATTGCATCAGACCACCATGGAGAATAATCTATAAAAATTATGATGATGTCATCTGTAAACACCTATTGGTATCAATAGCTTTAAATTATGGGTTGGCATTCTGGTTTATTAGGAAGCTCCTTAAGATGTATTAAAAATCTGTTTACTCTTAGTATTGATTTTTTGATAAATATATTATCCAGAGAGGTTATATGCAGTGATTTCCCTGGAAAAGCTGACATTTATTCAATGATATTTACTTCACTGAATTAAGTAGCAATATATGCTCATATATCTTGCTATATCTGGAAAATTATCTCCTCAGAGTTAAGGTAAGGTAGAAGAAAATCTGTTTTATAGAGATATTAGGGTATGCTTTAATACCTTAAAGCTTAGGAAAGTCTTTAGGTTTGCAAGATCTACTAGTTATGGTTTCACTGGCTTTTATACGAAAATACTACAAAATTGAAGATAATTCTCAAAAACTTATTTTGGTCAATTAACTGGATTTTTTAAAGATGGCATTCATTTTAAATAAAAAATCATCATTATATTCAATTTTGAGCAATTTTCTCTCATAATAATTTACCAGGACTCTGGCCTTTTCTTAAATAAAATCCACAAGGCCAAGAATGGCAAAGGCTGAAAGCTAGTCACTAAATGCTCTTTTCTTATTCCTCCTGGGCATTCAACTAAGCTACACCCCCAGGTGTCCCTGCAGGTTTCAGGACCACATGACTTTGCTCTCTCTACTTCTGAATCTGGTCCATAGAAATGTCCCACATGGATCCTCCACTTTCTCCTTTGCTACCTAGATGTCCACTTGAGGGCAATCTTGGAGAACACATCCTAAAGGTGGCATAGTCCTTTGTAACACGCATGTGTGTGGAAGGGCATTCCCAACCCAAAAAACTCCAACCTGGAACCAGTCTAGACTACTATATGAATGGAAAATAGTACTGAAATTTGGGGATTTACTTGTCCCAGTATATAGTACTTTTTTTTTTTTTTGGTATGCTATTAATTCTTAGCCAAAAATACAAAGAGCTTCAATTTCTTTAGAAAGCGCTTTAATCTTACAGGAAAGATCTAGATCACAAGACCTATTCAATTTGGACGTATCCTTTTCTCAGAACTCATTCAATAAGTCAATAGACATTTGTGGAATAATCATTTCATTTGCTCTTACCAAGACTTACAAAGTAAGTGAAAATGTCTCCCATGAATGTAATTAATTACTTAGCTTGGAAAACAACCTATTTCTAAATTGCATCTTCAAATTACAGAAAAAGCCTAATAATACAAAAATATGATAAATTACTAGCTCCTTAAAGAACGATGCTTTTGGTCACATTTGGGTTTTTTATTACTATTATTGTTTGTTTGTTTGTTTGGTGAGTTGTTTTCTGTGTTTATTTCTTGTGAACCAATTTTCATTGCTAATTCTTAGGGGTGAGCAGCTACTCCCATGAATTACCTCAGGATGTTAACTTTTTTTTCTATTAATATCTTGGAGGCAAGTTCATCAACTTAGAAAGTACTGGACTTAGAATTTGAAAGCCAGTAATTTACCCATTATCCATAGAAATAGCAAGAAAGGCTGGAAATGCAACAAATGGCGACTCCAAAAGGCTTTCCAATAATTAATATTTTTGAAAGGTTTTGCTGAATTTGTCAAAAATGAAGTCTCTTCTTTGACCTAACTGAACCGAAGGGTATAAAGAAAGGAACTATTAACTTGAATCAGAAGATCACTTGAAACCACCACAGTTTCCAAATTCCTCTCTTTGGATGAGTGGGTATGGAGAGAGGCAAATGAGGATAGCCTCTCCCTCTGCTCCCTACATGGACCTCAGAAAATCTGGGACCAAAGTTTACCCTGCTGGCTGAAAAAGATCTGACCTCTGGGATTTTACTCTGAATCAAAACATGGGCAAACTGTGGCATGAAAAAGGCACAGAGGATTTAAATTTGTTCCCCTGGAGCTCCAGGGGCTCTCTGTTCTTTGCTTTGCTGTGAACATGTCATTAAAGAAAATATTGTTCTTATCCACTGGGGAAGGTCACTAATGATAAAGACCTTATGAAATTTAAGAATAAATAAGAACTGTTGACCGGGCCAAAGGAGAGGAGGAAGAGAAGTGCAGAGGGCGTATTCATTAGCTCATTTGCAAAACCTGACCCCCATCTTAACCAGAGAATTGTAGCAATGTCAACTGGGGCAAGAAGCAGCCCATCCAATAAAAGAGCAAAGAATTCCACGTCTCCATCTGCTGGGGGACTTAAGGAATTACCCAAATTAGAAACCGTGACTTGGCTTGAAGGCTTACTGAGAATCTTATCAAACACAAGTTAAATAAGCAAAGAAAATACTACCCCGTTGCAGGGGTAAGAAAGCGTGACTAAACACTATTGTTACTTAAAAGTTGAAAAGAAACAACACGGCTTTACTCTCTTCGGTGTCAGGGAAAGCAATGTATGACACAAATATAGGCATTTTATAAAGACATTTTCTCAGTGAAGGCAGCCCCTCCCTTCATACAATTCTACTGGGGGAAGAAGGCTGCTGGGGGCAGCTGTGGATACCTGCTCCAAGTGGGCAGATGGCCACTGTCGGCTCTTGATCAAATCTACCAAATCTTCTTAGGAATCCTTGTTGAAGTCTTCCCAACCTGCAAACACCTCCAAATAACAGGGACTCTCTCAAATGAGTCGCAGGTTTGAAAAGCCACCGTCATGGGTAGGCAATTAACAGATGAAATTCATCCTTAGTGAGTCTTTGCCACTTCATACATTCAATTTTCTTTACTTCCAGCCAGTGCTTTATTCTATTTTAATACTTGGTCTGTCAAGTAAAGCATCGCCTCCTTGCTCTTGGGTCATCCGTGACGGTCTTTATCTTCCAGGATACAAGAACAGTGGCTGCCCCCAGCAGGTGCTTCACAAGTATTTACTGAAACAGAAAAGATGCTAGTCCTAGAAAGAGCTAGAAAGGTCATCTGCTTCTGTCTTCTTCCTCAAGCTTAAGTATTAACTATCTATAAGGGCTGGAAAAATCTCTAAAGATCACCAGATTCCCCTGATACCTCTTTCCATGGCTGTGTCAACATTCAACTCAGAAAATGTTTATCTGTCATGCCTTTTAAATATAAGCAAATGCTGTTAGAACTCCTGTCTTTGGAAATGAATGTGTCATCTTACATAATGTGGCTGCTGGTATCGGGGAGATACGCGACTGGTAGGTTCACCCGCAGGATTTGTTATCGGTTCCTATGCAGCTTCAATCGAGCACAATTTCCAAGTCTCCCTGAATAACGGTCAGCCATCTTTACATCACTTTGACACTGCGCATTTCATAAGAAAAGGAGGTGAAATTATTTTATCATGACAGTATATATGACAGTTATGCAGTTAAGAATCTCAGAAGTAGAGCTACCAATGAACTTATACAACCTTCCTACATAGGAATAAGTTCAAATAATTCACTTTATCCAACCCTCTGCTGTCCAGAAAGCCTCTACCCAAACAGTTTCAAATATAGGAAGGTCAATCCTACTTTCAAATTTTTTTAGAGCATGATATTTCATAAACTTGTCCTTCACAGAATTTGTAAAATTCATGATTTTCATTACGTGATTTTCATTGTATGGTTTTTGTACAAGGTAATTTGGGGTTTTGTTTTATTTTAAATAAAATACTTATTTTTATATTTATATATTTTTATATTTTTATTTAATAATGTAAAAATAATAAATATTTTATGTATTCATACACTGATTTAAATATATAATATATTTATATTAACAAATACCTTTTAAAAATAGGAATGAAGTATTCATATTGTCTTTATTCAAAAAGAAAAAGTGAGTTATGACACTCAGAGATACCCTTTTGACAATATTTCCAGAACCTTTTTCCCTCCTTTCTTTCCCCCTGAAAGCTGTCTGAGCCTTTAATACGAAATTGCCAAGGAAGGCATTTCACTTAAGATAGTCTAAATCAGGGGCTCTCAGAGGGTCTTCCAGGGACCCTGTAATCCCCAAGACCCTTTCAGGGAATCCACAAGGTCAAAACAGTTTTCATGAGAGTAACATGACATTATTTGACTTTATTATTCCCATTTCATTCTCATTTAGTCACAGATGTACCTCACTGCGCTGGAGGCTAATAGAATGTGTGCTCATGCACTGTTTTCAAAATTTCTCCGTTTTAATTTCTAATCCAGAAAATATAAACAGATACTACCCGCATGAACAAAAGCTCTTTAAATGTTTCAGAAAATATTTTTTTTCAGAGTGTAAAGGGGCCCTCAGACCAAAGAGTTTGAGAACCACTCAACACACAACCGCAAAATCTCTGTGGTGTAACACCAGGAAGTTTCTGTCTCCCTCAGGCACGTGCTACCTGTAGTCCGCTGAGCTGAGTGAGTTGTGGGGTGGAGTTGGGGGAGAGGGAGTCATTGCTCCATTTCCTCCCTCAGACACCCAGGCTAAAAGCATCCCAATGCTCCACAAGACAGGAAAAGGGAAGAGAACATGGGGAATCTCAAACTGGTTGTAGGAGCTCTGCCTGAAAGTGACACATGTCACTTCTACTCACATTTCACCAGCCAAATCAGGTGTAGCCACACTGAAATCAAAGGGGACAGAAACACACAATCCTCACATGTTTCTAGAAGGTAAAAGCTGAAAGCAGTTATTCAACAACACTACTAACTCCTAGCTCTTCAGACAGCTCATGTCTTCCCAGCATCTTTTCCTGAATAGTTCAGTCACATGGCCAGGTACTCATGGGGTTTCAGGAAACACATTTCAGGAAACACGTGGAGAAGAAGTATTTAAATATGACAGATACGAATTCACAAGTTTAAGATTTTCTTCCACAGTAATTGAGAAACATCAACTCTGAACAAAACATACTGTATACTCGACTAAGCTAGCATATAGTACTATTGTGTAAAACAGGCTTTCTAAAAGTCTTTGTTTGACTGACATGTAAAACCAATTATTTATAATTTGTGCCACTAACAAATGTCCAACACCTTCTCTTAAGAGCAAGACCCCGATCAATGCAAATAAATTCACATTCCTGTCTGAACTGACTCACCCAGCCCAAGTAACAAATTCACATGTCAATGGTGGGCTGACCCAATGACCCATCTGCTGAAAAATACAAACTGTATCATTTTGTTTCCCAAATAACAAGCATTGATTGCAGTGTTAGAAAGGTCACTTGTCATCAGCTGGGTCGTTGACCTGCTGGCAAATTGCAACCTGTCACTTCACAGTGAGCCAGGACCATCAGGAGGAATTAAGGCATGTTGTGTTTATCAAGTACAATTGGGGAGGTGACACCATTTTCACAAGATGTGTGTTTAGTGGGATGAGTATCGCAGTCCACGGAGATGGAAAGAGAAAACAGCATGAAAAGGAATGACTATAAGAGATATTGCATAATTTCCCAGGATGAGGGCGAGAAGCCTCACTGATGTCGATCTGCTTTAAAATGCACTGAATCAAACCCAGTCTACGTCTCCAAGTCAGAAGCCAAGGATTTCAATATTTTGTACGTGTTCTACGGGTAACAGAGTAAATAGAAAAGATGTCTCTTTCAAGTTCCCTAAAAGGAACTGGGAAAGGTAAAATTAAAAAACAACCCCATATCAGACAACATAAAGCATGCAAGTAAGGATAGGCCACGTGAGAAACACATTTCCAAGGACGCCCTCTCTAAGAATGCAGCTACGGTCACATGCTATCCCACAGAGCCGATTCCACCTCTTTCTGCTACATCATCAGTTGTCTCAATCTGTCCACCCACCAGAGAGAAGCATCTTGATTGTCCAGCTGACGATGAATTAAATAGCCATATTTATTTCTCTTTCAACCATTAAGCTTTTAAATATCACTTTAAGATATAATTGATCACAATCTCCTAGAATCAGGTATCAGCCAACTCTGCATTAAAGGCCACTTATATAAAATAATGGTCTGCACAATAGTTTGATGGGGTTTGCCAAGAAATGCTGTATGATTTTTTTTTTCTATATTCAGCCCCATATTATGGACAGGATACAAATGAATGCAGACATGTATCCAAAAATAAAATTTAATAATTCCTTCTGCATCTTCTTACAAAGTTTCAGTTAGCCACCGAAATATCTACCAATAGGATAATGACCTTTATACTGGGTACGCTCACAGAGGCATAAGACCACGGTATAAAGCATGTGTCCTATTTTAGTGAGTCTTGAAATGACATCCCTGGAGTTAGTCACTCTCAGCCACCGCAAGGCTCCACGAACCCTCTCCAATAAAGACAAGGAATCATCCTGATATGCTCAGAAAGGGAAGACATAGGTCAACTTTGGTTTTCAAAATATAAATATAAATATTTTCAATGCGATGTGACAGGATAGCATTTGGCCTAAAATGCAGCCGTGTACAATCGTTGCTTTGGCATTGCCCCAAGTTGGTGTACCGCATTCTGGTAGCCTTTCCTTCGTCCCCATGCATACTGCACATTATGCCTCGTTTCAAAACTACAGAACGGTTGAAAAAGCAGTGCAATAAATACTTATAGACACCTGACCCAGATTTAACGATTGTTAACATCTTACCACGTTGGCATTCTCTCCTAATATACACATGTACACATGCATACATTTTTTCTACACCGATACCCAGACACCCCTACACACTTCAGCATTGATCTCCCGAGAACAAGGACACTTCTCCTACATAGTCATACACTTTGTGGTACTTATTTACTAACCAAATTTCCTCATGCCATCTCTTCCTGATATCGTCTAAGGAGAAATTTTGAATTTCCCTCTTTGTACCCACAGTCAAATAATGTCTTTTGTCCTCCTTTGCCAGAAATCAACAAATGACCCCCATGCTTTGCATTCTCACCAGCTCAGGACAGCCTCTAAGAGTCTTTCTTCCTCCGGGCTATGATGTCTTTGCAACTTCCTGAGCTGTACTGTGGGTGCATTTGTTCCCCAGCCTCCGCTTACGGCCTTCGGACAAGCTGTTCGTTCAGCCACGCATGCCCACCTGCTCTGGCCTCATGCTTCATGCTCTCATGGCCCCTGTCATGGCCCTTCCTCCAGGAGGCCTGCTGCTCACCCTCACCTACCCACCAGTCTCTGTCTGGGCAGCAGCCTGTCCCCTTCCCCCACCCAGAGCACTGGCCACCCCCACTTCTACATCTCCTGGAAGATGGGGCACAGTTTGTGGCTCTATGCTCAGTGCCCAGAACAAACCTCCCCAGGGCCTCACACACAGCTGGAGCTCCCAAAGAGGACTTCCATCTCTTCCTGGTCTTCAGGTAAAAAGAATAATAATAAAAAAAAAATTATTCATCTCTTGGACTCCAAGGGCCATGGAAAGTCTCAGAGGAATGTAACTGGGAGCCTGCATCTGTGAGGACATGGGCAGTAGAAGATGGGGTGACCCAGAGCCCTGGGGCCACAAAGAATTTCCAAGGCCCTCTCTGCGCTGTGCAAGGGCAACCTAACCTACCACAGGCCATGTAAGCCAGTATATTAGTAGCCCACTCAAAACCCTTTTGACCCAAAGATCCTGCCCTCCATAAAGCAAAGCTACTGTTTCTCAAAGCCCAGCTGGCTTGTCTCCTTCAGGCCTCAGGCTCTCCAGTGTCTAGAGAAACTGTTTTCCAGTCAGCCCACCCCAGTCCGCTGCCCCTGCAGGCAGATGAGAAATCTGCATACCAAAGACCCACACTGAGTTTCCTATCCAAGTCCACAAGCCTTTCTTTTGACTCCGGCGCCAAAGTGAGCTCCTCTTTTCCAACACTCTGGCCATGCCCAATGCCAGGGGGCCTTGCACAGGGAGCACAGCATATGCGAGAGCTAACCAGCTCCTCAGTGTGATTTTCTCAGGCTGGTTAACATCACAGCCCCACAGCCTACTCTGAACCCTTCTTGGATCCCTTCCTCTGTTCAGATTCCGAGAGATTTACAACCTCTCTCATGATTGGTCGATTTATTTCATTCCTCGGCTTCACATAACTCTTATGATGTCATACAATTTTACAGGAAATCAGGCAAGGAATGAACCTATTTTAAAAACACGTATTTATATATACAGGCTCATTTGTATCTTTTTAAGAAATATTTAAAAATAGCTAGACCCCGTTCTTACTTTTGGTTACGGTTTCCAATCAGCCAAGATGAGAATTTAGAACAAATTTAAAGGAGAACAGTTGTTGAACACTGAATATAAATGACTGAAATAAGCTATCATATATATTACAATGGCCCCTGGACCTCTTGAAACAATTATTTATTAAAAATCAAGACACTTTTCTAAAAGCAAAACAAAACAAAAAACAAGACTACCCTGATCTTGAAAGTCTTTGCATATGAAAATGGAATCATTTAAAACATTATGTCAAGTGATATAAGCCAGACACACACAAGGACAAATACTATGTGATTCCACTTCTATGAGAGGCCCCAGAGTCGTCAAAGTCAGAGACAGGAAGTAGAATGGTGGTTACCAGGGTCTGGGTGGAGGAGGGAATGGAGAGGAGGGGAGAGGGTAGTGTCTCATGGGTGCAGAGTTTCAGATTGGAAAGATTAAAAAAAAAGTCCTAGAGATGGATGGTGGAGATGGTTGCACAACCATGTGAATGTACTTAGTACCACTGAACCCTTAAAAACCATTAAAATGGTAAAGTTTATGTTTTTTATATCCATGTTAAAGTGAGACTACCCAGAGCCCCATCCTGTTTAATTAAGAACTCTCCAGAGATCACTGATCTGAAATGGGCTTTTTTAATGCTATTCTAAAGTTATTTTTCTAAATTTTATAATTTATAACAGAGAATTTATCATTTATAATAGAGAATACAACTCCAGTCCAATCTCTTTCACTGTGTTTCATCATGCACTGTTTAACTGGAAACCCAACCCAAGCCTCACCAAGCCGACCAGAGTGAGATAAATGAAGGAGAGACCATCAACTACTGTCCTACATCTGGATGACGGGCAGGCATTTCTCAATGGGACCCTTGAATGAGGTTCCCAGGGACAATGAAGTTGTTTGTAGTTTCTGAGTTCGATGACTGGAAACATTCAGAATTGATATAAAAGATGACAATTTAATGACCATCCCCTAAAAAAATTGTTACTTTTGATTATAAAGTTATACTTGACCCTAAAGAAAATGTGTGACATAGAAATGATAAAGCAATTACCCCCAATCCTCCCATCCTGAAATAAATATTGTCAGTACTTTAATGGACTTCTTTCACCTTGCTTTTTTAATCCATTCAAAAATTATATGAAGGTCTATATCTTCTGCTTCTTATTCGGTATCATTTAGAAGAGACAATAAGAACTTGGCATGAACTTTACTCAGAGTCCAAATTAAGCTAAGAGATGAATTCATACCAAATTGCTCCTGAAAAATTACTTAATAATAATATAAGAAGTACATTTCTTGCATACTTTGCTGGGCCAGTTATGAGGCCAAGTTCCCAAAGTCGATTATCTTATCTCACCTGGTCAACAATCTTATGAGGTAGGTTCTAAACACATTTGCACAGCCTTCAGGATCACCTAAGACTGACCATCTCACTCCATCCAGCAGAGCTCACCTCTGCCCCCAGGCTTGGTTCCTGCTCTTCACTCTGCCCACATGACTCAACCTCCATGTTCTCCTTGTCCTCAGTGGAATCCCCATCTCTGCTCCCAGATCACCTCTGCAGAGAGGCTGGTCCTGTCTCCTGCTTCCATCACCTGCTATGCCCTTATCCTGATGTAGCTTTTCTGTACAACCCTCAGCACATCCCACCATCACAATGTATGTCTCTGCCTATGAGCTCCTGCCTGCCTACCCCGCAGGCTATAACCAGCAAGGGGACAGATCTTACTAGAGCAGCTCCAGCACGCACAAAGAGTTCACTGATGAGGAGGCTGGGAAACCAACAGCTTAAGAAGCTGTTCCAGATCAATAACTACAACGTGACAGAGCCAGCATCTGACCTGGGTGGGACCAGCAGCCCCCACAATGGAGAGGCCTTCGTGTTCATTTTCAGAAGATCCAGAAAGCAACCCCCTGGGATGAAGACCATCTCCTCGCTAGGTCCATGTGCTCATGGGAAGTTGACTCCTCAGTAGTCAGAAGAGCAAAACTGGGAGCTGGCTCTCTAACCTGTAAGTCTGGAGCAGGTTTCACTTCTCTGAAATTGAGTCTCCTAAGACACAAAAGAGAGACAATGCCTCCCAGTCTTCCAGGGTCCTCATGAGGATCAAAGACACACAGCAAAGAAGCAAATGATGTTAACTGCTCAGAGTCGTTTACATGTATGGGATTCCTTTGAGAAAGGAAAATGATCAGAGGGTACTCGGCTGCCACTTGCCTGCAATATAGATTTTCTTTGGTTCTTGTTTTTACTTTTTTGAAGGGATAAAGCATCCAAGAAAGCTTAATTTGATGTTATAGCATGCTGAGTCTGATGGACCGAATTTTGCATGACTTTTTAAGTATTCAATTCCAGAAAGTCATTAATACATCAGGGAATATGTGATCTTATAGGCTAGAATCTTTTGGCAATCCAAGAACCATGTAACCAGACTGAGGATGAAAGGTGCTTCAGGGAGGGGTCCTTACTTGGCTCACTCAGTGATGAATCCCAATGTGATGAATAACAATAACTAGCACATTGCAGGTGTTAAGTAAATATTTGTTGAATGTTGACAGATTCAAAGAATGAATGAGATAATTAGACAACTGTCTGAATATTCCGTGCCAAAGATACTACTCACTAGATACACATTGAAATTTAAGGAGGAAAAAAATGCCTTTTCAACCCCATAGTCTTCTTCTCTTCCTCACTCACTAAATCTTGCATAAGCCCTGAAGTGGGAATAAATAGGGAAGGCTTCCCTAACAAGAGGGAAATACGCCTGAGGAACGCACCCACAGAGGAAACTCCCAATTCCTTTGTCTGTTAACCCATCCTCTTTCCCAAATGTGAAACTGACCCTACATAAATAGATGTGGTCATTTTTTCTATTCTCTGGGCCATCCCGCTCAAAGCGCGTATCGCCTCTCCACCCCCCCTCCTTCTCCCTGCCTTTCATAGAGGCAACCACAGAAATGACTCAGTCCTTAGTCATAGTGTCTCTGTGAAGATCAGAAACATCATAGTTCCCAGTTTGCAACATATAACTAAGTGTGGAAGGCTCCATGAGCTTTCCCTGGTTACACGCTACACTTCCTGTTAAGTTTTCCTAGCACTGGGAACCAAATTCACTAAATTTGGCTGCTGCTGGAAGTTATGATGTCTTAAGGGGACCACATCAGGTATAAACATATGTTAATGTAATGAGTTATCAAATGATAGCTACGGTTATAAGCTATCTTTACATTTTTACTATTATGAAGAGGTTTACAAAGAGGTTTATTTATTTATTGTTTTTTTTATTTTTTGCATAAGATAAATTTGCATTTTCTTACCCATCAGACATGGAACTTGTTAAATACCCATTTTATAGAACTCAAGTGTGAAGATACAAACAAAATCCTTTAATGAAATATAAAAACATATAAAAATATAAAAACAGTTGTTGAACCCTGCAGGTGCTTTTACATGATAAAACACTTCTTATTCAATACTTCTTAATCTACTCTGATAATTACACCACGTACTACAGTACAGAAAGTGAGAGAATACAAAAGTGTTAACAAAATGGACCAGGTTATTAAGTGATTACTTAATCAAGGGTGCTTGTGCTCAAAGTAGCAATCCTTATGCTAAAGCTCAAGAAAATTCCCCATTGTTAATGGAGATCAATTGATAGGAAATGAACCACACACCAATAAAGAGAAACCATGTGGAGCACAGTTTCAAGCTAGCTGCAATAATCTGGAACATAAACGTCAACTTCAAATACAAAAATTTAAACGGCATTTGGTCTTTATTTGCTCTAAATATGTATTTCTAGAGCCAATCTCACAGCCTTAGAGTTATCAAGTCAGCTTATATAAAGCTCCAGACTGTATTTAAATTTTTTAAATGTGACTAAAAATAACCTTATACATTAA